AGGCAGAAGAGAAAGAAAATGGGGAAAAATAAAGGAGGAGCAGAGACAAGAAAGAAGAGAAAGAAAAGACGGGGAAAAAGGAGAGAAAAATCACGGCACGTCCAATCCATATTAAAATGTTGCCCTATTCCATTGGGTAAGGCCGACCGTATTTAGCGATCAAGGCGGACAAAAATGGAAGCCCATGTGACAGATGAACTCCTCCCCCTCCCTCGGGTCGGCGCAGCCACGCCGGTGACAGTCCGGGCCGCCGCCGGCGGTACGGCGCTCTGACAGATATATCAGATGATTGCCGTTTCCTACCGCCGATTATCCAGTGACCTTCTCGGTCCGACCATCATCGCCGTTCGCGGCCACGGCGGCGGTGGTAGTGGCATAAACGGCTACAGAGACGGCACCAGCCAGCCGCAGATCTTGCCACCTTTCTAAGTTTCTCTATGTTCCTCTAGGTACTTGTCTGCCTGATATGTTTTGATTTTTCGCTACATTATCATTAGCTTTCCCTTTCCCTGCTTATCTCTCTCTCGTTCTGTCCCTTTTTCTCACTCTTATTTTTCTCCCTCGTCTTCTTTTCTTTCTTTTTTCTTTTAGACGACTCTGGCCCAAGGTATCAATCACCAACATCGGCATCAGTCATCCCTGGGAAGTCGGAGCACAGCTTCCCCACTTGCCCGGCAAAGCCACCGACAAATGAGCGCGCCGCCAGCGCCGGCCGCTGACGGCTCCATTCGTTCATCTAGTTCTGTTTTCACATTACGGCTCGCCATCGATCACAGTAGGCGATATTTGCTCCCGCTGCGGCCCGCTCCGACTCGGCGATACCCAGGCTGGCTGCGCAGCGGCCGCCTGGGAGGCAGGCAGACCCGGCGGCTGGCCTGTCCCGCGGCACAGTCTACCCTGCAGGCAGCCGAGCCAGCAGGGAGGCCGGGGAGGCGCGGACGCCGCAGGACATCGAAATCCGCGCACAGTCTGGAGTCTGGACTTTTGGAGACTACTAGTCACGGAACTTTGCGTTTCGAGAACAGTTGATAAAATCAGATAAAATTAGAAGCTGCAGTGACGTTCACATGGACTCCTGAACAGCAACGATCCCAGACATCTTTCAGAGCTGTCTCATTCATATGACTGTTCAACGAATTTGGTTGTCCGTTGTTCAGCTTTATTCAGTTTCCAGAGAGTTGGATGTGGCACAAACATGGAGCTTGGTGAATATTTACGGTGGCAGAAGGGCTCGATGATTTCCCAAAGCGGGCCTTTCTAGAGCTAGAGGGGAGTAGAAAACTGAATGTGCTGCAGACCTCATCGTTCATAGACGGCATAACAAATCTTCAGCATCTGAGATAAGTGTTTTTCCTAAAAAAAACACGGCTGCTACTGAAAACGTGGGGGGGGGGAGGAAGATATCGACACATCAAATAGCGCCATGTCAAAAAAGAGACTTTTAAATGATGCAGGGCACTCTACTGTCACTACCTAAAAAGAAGGGGAGTAAAGCACACCCACTACCGATGGTACTCGACATTTATATCTAACCAAAATCCCAATAGCGCGTTTCGTACTTTCTGCATCTATATCTACACTGCGCCAAGAGACAGTCATTAGCCGTTTTCACGACGGCCACCTGGTACACGTTTGGTGCATATTGGGTTCAGATTTGGTGGAGATTTGGTCAAACCAGGTTCAGTGTGTTTCTTAGAATCTGTCAGTTTGGGTTGCACAGATACTTGTTGGTCTCATTTTTTTAAAATTAGCAGACATTTTATATTAAAAGATTGAAATAAATATATGATATGAAGATTTTTGTTGTAATAGAGAGTTGGTGCAGATTTGGTATACCTATGTGAATTCGCAAGCCAGCCCGTCGTGAAAACGGCTATGATCTAGTTGATACTAAAGCAATAGATTCGAGCCGCGAATGAAATAACTTGAGCATCCAAGCAGAGACTATCAGCCATGGAAGACGATATCCCGGACAAATGTAACAGACCCGGAGGACAGAATAGCAGGCCAAACAACAGACCGGGCAGGCCGCAGTAACAGACCGACACCGGCCGCGGCTGCCTGTCGGGAGCTAACTCCATTTGGGGCCGGGATCGACGCCAGGCAGCCCGAGCGCCATCGTCACCGTCGTAACACGCCCACCGCGACCGACCGACCGACCGGGGGGGGGGGCGGGGGTGGAGGGGGGGGGGGGTGAAATGAGAGAGACAGGGACCGTAAATGTCATCGTCACGCTTATCGAGGAGGCGCGAGACACCGCCAGCCAGTGCTGTCAGAAGTCGTCCGACTGATGCTTCCATCTTCCTAGTATTCTTCAAAGATGAAATGTGTCCGCCGATGCAAATCAAAGCTAATGAAAGCAGTTCGTCAGCGACGAATGCCGCTTAAGTCGTAGTTTGGAGGACACGCGCCTCCGAGAAACCACCGGCTTCCACGGCAGATGCGTGTAGTTAGTCTTTGTGCAATGCAATTTCTCGGAATATTTGGCACAATACGCCAATCAAATGTCTAAAGACCAGCTTACATGTCGATAACTAAAACCGCTTTTTGAATAGAGAATATGACTATCCAGCCTCTTCTTAAAAATTGCCAAATTAGAGCATTTTCACTTTTTGAAATTGGGCCCCTATTCCAAGAGCCTTCAAATGCACCAGCAGATAACCAGGAGTAGTATAAAATTACCTGCAAGATGGCTAAAAAAGTGAACGGCACTTCAACAGCCTTAAACTTTTCGTTACCACACGAATATCATTAGAATATCATTACTCCTGGTCACCTGATCATGGGTGGCGGCTTAGAAAAAGAAAAAGAAAAGAAAAAAGAAAGCATCCATGATATCGACGTAATACCTTTTCAGCCTTTCAGTTTAATTTCACAAAGAAGAACACAGATTATAGCCTCCAAAACTCAGCGGAACCCACTGTGTGTGCACACAGAATGGGTACCGATAAGTGGATGTTCAAAATCGCACCATTGCAGGACACACACGAGTCAGTGACACAGCGCACGCTCATCACGTCAGCGGGAATCTCGTCCGTCCGTCCGTCCAGCGGCGGTGTGCCGGTGCCATGTAATCTAGGACAGGCTGGAACGAACGGCTGACCAAAATGGACGGCCACCCCGACTGACCTGACCTTTGACACGGCATGTCCGGCGTGACATTTGCGTCCCGCCTCTCCGCGGTCCTATGCCAGCCCTGGTCATCACCAGCTGATATTCCAGAATCCCATTTACGCCCTCATCTCGCCACATCTTTCAATAAGTCAGCACGGTAACCCATGCAGAGGAGCTCCTATAGCCGTGTTGCCGATCACGACTTGTTTAGCAGTTGGTCCATCTTTTAATAGGGTGGTAGGGGGAGAAGGTAGGTGCAGAGCTGATCTATTGAAGACGGATGGACTACACGAACCTGGGAGGCATGTGTCTCTGGCTGTACAGTCTCGGTCAGGTGGCTCGTACAGTCTCCAAAATGCAGCTGGTTCATGCCAGATGTATTGGATAGGTCGGCCATCTATTCGGCTACCAATGGCCTCCCGCCAATATAGCGTGACCATCCACGTGCACAATTGAGACAAATGGCGAATTATCTGGCACGTAATTTCTCACCAGTACCTTTGTTCACTAGTATGTAGGTACGTAATTCTTACATTAATCACTTAGTATTGGGCGAAGGAAATGAATGAATGAATGAGGTAATAGCCGTTTTCACGACGGGCTTTCCGGCGAGTGCACCTAATTTGACCAAATCTGCACCTAATCTCTTTTACAGCAAATTTCTTTATTTTATGAGTTTATTTTAGAGTTTTAATCGATGATACTCTCTGATAATATGACAAAGCAGGCATATAAGCAATTAGTGCAACCCTAGCTGATAGCTACTAAGAGACACACTGAACCTGATTTGACCAAATCTGCGCCTGATCTGCACCAGATGTGCACCAAATGTGTACCAGATGGCCGTCGTGAAAATGGCTAATACAATCCCAATCCATTATCTGGCGCCGTCCGAAAGTCTTTTAGTCTGCTTTTGTAAACGAGTTGATGCGATCGAATAGATTGTAGGATACGATTGGTGAAGAAGATATGTACGTTAATAGATATCGGAAAGCTACAGCGAACTAAAGAACTTTGTGGAGAAAATCCATTTTGAGCTTTTCTAAATATTGATTGCTTGCAGGATAAGGTTACACATTTTCATAAGAATAACTATGCGGTATTCAGCCGTGCGTAAAACTAAACTAGATTCTTCGGCAATCAGCTGCTCCTAAAAGGGCTCATATCAATTGCGGTAATAATCGCAGGTCTCTGGATAGCCTTCAGTGACGTTTTATGGCCGGAATAGGAAATGCGACCCTATAATATCTGGAAAGGCTGGTACAGACCGCGACAAAACAGATGGAGGGATTAGAACGGTTCTGAAGAGCACTCAAGAGAACAGCGGACAGTTGTAGTCCTGGCAAGAACACACAAATAGAATGTGCAGCCTCTAGCAGTGACTCACGGTACAGTGGCTCTACCAGTGACTGACTGGTACAGTCTCTGGCAGCGACTCACCGGCAGTGTCTCCAGGAGATGTGCGGTACTGGAGAACCCCCCCCCCCCCCCCCGAGGTCATCAGGGCCTCGTTTCATAAAGCGAGTCCGTAACTTACGTCAATTTTTGGGCTTGTATTACAAGCGCATGTGAAGCGATAAATTCATTTCTCCTTCTGCCTTCTGTTCTTCCTTGCAAGATAAATAAATTCAACGATTCAAACTATCGCCATCGCTTCACATGCACTTGCAATACAAGACCAAAAAACGGCGTAAGTTACGGAATCGCTTTGTGAAACGAGGCCCAGGTCGGTACAGTCTCTGGCAGCGGCTCACGGTACAGTCTCTGGCAGCGACTCACCGGCAGTGCCTCCAGCAGGTGTGCGGTGCTGGAGAACCCGCCGGAGGTCATCAGGTCGGTACAGTCTCTGGCAGCGGCTCACGGTACAGTCTCTGACAATGACTCACCGGCAGGGCCTCCAGGAGGTGTGCGGTGCTGGAGAACCCCCCTGAGGTCATCAGGTCGCCCCCGGGGTTGGTGTTGATGTGTGACAGCGAAATGCCACCCTCGAACGGGTCCTTCTGAAGCTTCTTCAGGCTGTTACACCTGATGATGGGGAAAAGGAGAACATTTCACCATCACGGCACAGACACCTTAGTGGTCAGCCGGGGTCACAGCTGGTTGGATAAATTAGAGCAAAGGTCAACTGAGGTCACGGTCCCTCGTTGTACTGTCACAACAATCAGTAAATTACAGGTACTAACTAACTGCATATTATTTATGTCTAGTAGGAAGAGTTCGGCATGCAGCTTCAATGGGTGACCTGGCTTTGCGTCATGGACCAATACATGAGAGAACCTCTTCATCACTTTACGTCGTCAGAATATATGTAGACCGTGGGGGGTCCTGCCACCTCGCACCATCGTAGACTCTCAGAGCGTCTTACCTGGCGTCGTAGATCCTCGGAGACCGCTCACCTGGCATCGTAGAATAGAGCCTCAAAGCAGTGTTCGCCATGGGCCGGGCCAGCCCAATGGGCCATGGGCTGGGCTGGGCTACGGGCTGGGCTGGGCCCTCATATATGAAGGATCGATGGGCTGTGGATGGGCTGGGCCAAGAACTTGAACTGTAAAGTGGAGTCAGGGGTTCGCAACTGAGACAAAAACTATACATAGCTTATTACTGTGCAAGACTCAAAAACGAGGATATAAAGTACGCATGAAATGTGTATTGTGCATGCTGCTCGCAAAAGATTGTTTCTTTGCTACCTTTGGATATCTGTGTAGTGTCAGTAATTTTTAATCCATTTATTTTTGACGGGCTGGGCCGGGCTGGGCTTTGATGCTTTTACCATGTATGGGCTCGGGCTGGGCCGGGCTGTGAACCCATGGGCCTGGGCTGGGCTGGACTGGGATTTTGCGGCCCGTGGTGAATACTGCCTCAGAGACCTCTCACCTGGCGTCGTAGACCATGAAGGCGAGGAACAGCATAGTGAGGAGCAGCACCAGGCCCAGGGTGATGCCGACGATGCAACTGGCGCCGCAGGAGGGCTCCGAGGGAGACGCCGCTGGAACGACAGAGACAGACTGTAACGACAGGAACACAACGACAGAACTATACACAACTGGAACGACAGAGACAGCCTGTAACGACAGGAACACAACGACAGAACTATACACAACTGGAACGACAGAGACAGACTGTAACGACAGGAACACAACGACAGAACTACACACAAAACGACAGAGACATACTGTAACGACAGGAACACGACAGAACTACACACAACCGGAACGACAGAGACAGACTGTAACGACAGGAACACAACGACAGAAACACACAACTGGAACGACAGAGAAACACAGCACGGCTCAAAGGCGTAGCCGGAAGTCGGAACGACAGGAACGCGGTAACGACAGGGACAGCTGAGGCTGGAAGGACAGAGGACTGGAACGACAGAGAAACACCGGACCTGAACGACAGAAGCATGGGATTATGTAGAGCGACTCGAGCGACAGGGACGTCGTGACGACAGACGGAACAGACATGTGAACGCTGGAGCGGGGAGCATGAAGACGGAACGGCGTGTAGGGCCGGAGTGGGGAGTGTGCGAAAAGATTGTAGGGGAGTGCCGATCGTGGGAGTAGGTACATGAATCACAAGTAACCGTAACTGCCACTCATGGGTATCCCACCTCACGAGTTTCCGTCCCACTCACGCGGTTGCTCGGGCCGGTCGGTGGTGACGGGCGCCGTCTCGTTCCACACGCTGTAGAGGTGCTCGGCCGGCCCGCAGACACACTGGTGCCGCGAGTGGCAGACGCACAGTCCTCGGGCAGAGGCCACGCCGCGCCCCGCCGGCCCCGGCTGCAGGTACAGGCCCGCCGAGCTGTACTCTGCAGAGGGAGGGGGGAGAGGGAGAGAGAGAGAGAGAGAGAGAGAGAGGGAGAGAGAGAGAGAGAGAGAGAGAGAGAGAGAGAGAGAGAGAGAGAGAGAGAGAGAGAGAGAGAGAGAGAGAGAGAGAGTGAGACAGACAGTGACGTAAGATGCCCCATGTTTCATATATCTAACACCGCTAAAAAGACCACATCGTTTTTGCCATTAGCCAATTTGTTCAGCAGCGTTCAACTTGCCTAAAACAGAGCGATAGATATACCTTCATGCAGCATCTCTGTTGTCGAATTGCTAACAACACTGCCGAATGTAGGGGAAGGTGGGGTAAGACGGACCAGCTAAGGTTTGAGGCCGCATATCTTGCTACACTGCTCTCGTAATTCATATTATTTATAGTCTTCGGACTGCTCAATCCTTCCTAGTTCCTCTGTTGATATATGTGTAAAGACTAAATTTCAAATTAAAGACATCTAGGTGGTGGATGCTCTTAAAGAGGGACATGTCAAAAACTCAGACAAGAAAAAACGTGGGGTAAGACGGACCACCCAGCAGTGCCTGCTATCCGTTCATGTGTGTTACACTTCTGCTCTGTACTCTTGTAAGAAAAAGTAAGCAGAATGGTAAAATAACAAAATGAGCCTTTATTCTTTACTCATGTGTGATGGAAGTGCAGCTAAAAGCTGGGAACATGTGTGTTGATTGTCGTTTGGCATGAATGCATGCTAACTGAACACTTGCATGCATGGCTCACATGCAACAAAGACTCCTTCCTGAAAAATTTGCTTACTTAAGCTTGTGTCAATGTTTTGGGAAAGAACTTTCCATATGCAGGGTAAAATGGACCACCACAGGGTAAGATGGAACACAGTGGTCCGTCTTGCCCCAAATCTGAATTCTGTCATTATCATGACGTATATGTCAAATAGCCCAACATTGCAAAACCTTGCCTTTCCTAAAGTGTGACTATAACTAAGTTTATAACTTCGTTCTTCACAGTTAAGTGCAAAATAGAAACTAATCATGCCATAAAGGCGCCGTAATTGAATCACCCGTAGACCTCTTATATTAGATCGGTTTGACGAAAAACAACATTTTCCTCAATAACTCAAAAGCTATGCATTAGAGCACTTCACGGATAGGCTTTTTAGGATCCGGCCCGGCCCATATCCGGCAAGTCATATCCAGATCCGCCCATTATCCGCCTTTCTTTGAATATCAGAATCCGGCCCACCCATGGCCCGTATTGCAGCCAAACTTCCAAAAAATATCCGTAATAATCCGTTTCACCAATAACTGGTTTCACCCAAAACTGGACTAACAAATTCAATCTAAGGGACCAGACAGCCATACATCTCACAGACCATCATGGTTCCAAAAACCATGCTTATAAACCTAAAACCACATGAAAATCACCACATTGGTAAACTAGGTATCATCCTGCCGCTTAACACATTACACTGAAAACTTTTTTACCATTTCCTGAAGGGTAAACCCGCCATAGTATGGTAGCTTGACACACAGACGTTTTTTACCACCTTCCAGATGGTAAATTTTACTCTTTCATGAAGAGTAAACTCGCCAGGGAGGGGTAACATGACACACAGACATTTTTTACCATCTTCTGAATGGTAAACTCTTTTGATTTACTCTTGTCTAGAGTGTAACATTTTTTGGGTTACACTCTTTGAAAGGGTAAATCTTTAACGGAACCCTTTTTTAGGGAGTAACGCATCATCTACTCTGTGCTTTACCCTCCTACAGAGAGTATATTCTTATGGCCTACCCTTTGTCACATGGTAATGTTTACTCTTTCCTTTAGTGTAAACCCCCAGAGGATGGTAACAGACCCACAGACGCTTCCTTCAGAAGCTTCACGAAGCTTCTGGTAACCGGAGCTCACCAACTAAAAAAAAAAAAATGTTTCAAGAGCAACAATGTAGGTATATTTGGCTTCCGTACAAACAATACGAGGGGCACACCAACCATGAACATTGTGAGACTCTTCACTTATTCATACAAATTTATACAAAGCGTTCAGCAATGCACAAGCGGTAAATAAACACCATGATACAACTTGAATGCAATTTGAATATGAATACAAGACATTCAGCGCCCTCATATTGGATTAGGCAGAGCGCACAATATTTGAAGTGAGCGACGGCGTTCCTGGGTGGTCGCCCGTCTGCGTGAGATAATGAGACTGGATCACCACAGTGCAAGGCTTTTTCAAAGTCACCAACAAAATGCATAAACTTGTAGCATCACAACAAAATTAATGTACGTACTCACAACACTAGGCCACGTGGCCGTGCACGGGGTCCTGTTAACCAGGTCAAATTAGCACCACTCAACGGCACGCAATGCTCTAGCACATCGGTACTTACAATAAAATGTCCACAGAGGCTCTATAGGCGATGAACAACACACAAGCACAATCACCAACGGCCACGCCGCGCGGCACCGACACTGCTCACATCCGCTCTCGGAGACCAACGGCCGAAAACTGACAGATGCGCGCGGCCTTCAAACCGCAAACGGCCGATCTCGTTTCTGATTGGCTGATTGTTTCCATTTCAAATATCATCTTCACGAGGGTAAACAAGATCCACGCATGAAACGACTATCTGTACCCGAGTCACGATACCCAGGAGGAAAGAGTTTTCGTGATGTTCTGGATCGCGAGAGTAATATTGATATTTACATGGTAATAATGCTCTTCGCTGGCGAATAAGTTAATATTAACCACGTACCGTTACTATGCACATAATGGTAGCAGCGAGTTACCCTTTCAATATACTATTTTCTTGCGGGTTTGATGAAAATGAACTCTCCAGGAGGTAGTAAAAAAGTTTTGAGTGTAGGTTAATTTTTAACTTCAATGTTGAATGTTAAAATTTTGATCCGTTTTGATCCGGGTTCAACCTTAAATTCCCAAATCCGGCCCGCCCATATCCGTTCTTTTTTAACAAATTTAGAATCCAATCCTATCCGGTCCGCGGATTTATCCGTGGATAACGGATTTATCCGGCCCATGAAGTGCTCTACTATGCATCCTAGCAGCATGAGCTCAATGTGGCCATTGTTACGAAGGAAAACAAACATAGTGAGTGCATAAAGCAGTAGATACCAGCAGCAGTTCAGCCGGGAGGGCTGGTGGTCCGTCTTGCCCCGCTGGGCCGTCTTACCCCACCTTCCCCTATCAACCTAGCTATGTGCTCTTTTCCAATCCTCCCAGTTCCCACCCCACCCTCCCCAATCCCGGCTGATGAGTCCACTTACCGGCGCAGTCCTGCGGGCAGATCCGGCCCGAGAGCTGCTCCAGTGGGTCACACGTGCCGTCCGGACACGTGGCCAGGTCGGAGCTGCACGTGCCGTACTCGTGCGTCAGCGTCTTGTTGGCCTCGGGCGGGCGCCACGTGCACGTGCCGTTGGCGCCGGCACCACACATGGTCTCGCAGTCCTCGAGCCGGGAGCTGCGCGCGCACATTGGCTCCGGGTCGTCCGGTGCCGTCCGTGAGCCGCTGTCCACGGCCTCCGCTGAACAGGAGCCGTTCTCGGCCAGCCACACGCGGATCGTGACGTTCACTCTGGCGGCTCCCTCGGCTGGAGCGGCCCCGGGGTCTGCCGATGGCACCGTGCTCGGTTCGGTTGCACTCCCCTCCGTTGTGCTCGGCGAGGAGAAGTCTCCCTCCTCTGACAGCAGCGTGATGTTGCGGTCGGTGTTGTTGGATGACGTCAGGTCCGTATCGACGCCCGGGGGCGCTGATAACGCCACCAGTCGGAGAACCAGCGGCGATTCGGCCCGCGCCAGCCGCTCCGGCCGCCAGACGTATACGATACCACCCGAGGCCGTTACCGACAGCGAGCCGAGGTCTGCGGGCTCCAGGTGCGCTCTCTGGCCGCGGAGGGCGGCCGCCAGCGCCGGCGGCGGCTGGAACACGCGCGCGAACCGCGCCGCCCACCGGCTCACCGTGACCTCATATACGTCCTGGAGGTCGCCAGGCGGGTCGGCGCCGCCGGCGGGCGCGGGCGGGGGCGGGGGCGGCTCCGTTGGCCGACACCCGGACAGCAGGTTTACCGTGATCGTCACCTGCCGCCGGGGGAGAGGGAGGAGCTGGGTTACACGTCTGCCGACACTTCATACATAAATCACGCAGAATGTTAGCCGGAAAACGGAGCTCGCTAGATAGGGTGATTTATGTTTCATTATTGGAGCCACCTATAGAACCTAACCTAAAATCTAAATGTAGGTAAATGTTGCAGGAACTATCTCAAATGCTGTAGCTTGAAGTTGAAGGAAAATTTGCTAAATCATTGACCAGGGCCTCAGTCACGGTTTCCGATGGTGAGATGGGGTCCAACCAAAAAATGCGCACCCTTATACATAAAGCTGCATCACGGAAGTGCAATTATTAGGGGGTCTGGACACCCCGTATCCGACCCACGATGGTGGAGCTCCTGTCATTGATCTACATTTGTTTAAATAAATTCATGAAGACAGATGAATACCAAATTCGTCCGTTACTAAGGTATTGTACCTAAATTCATTTGGGTCTGGGAACTCGGCACGCAAGATAATTATTGCTTTATCGATCTAATAGGTATGAGCTCATTCAGAAAAGTTGAACAAAACATTTTGCTTGCACATGTATTAGCCAGGGAAGGGAGTTCGGCTGCATATAAAATTGCTAAGGCTCGTTGTCCATAATGTTGGCGGCGGCGCTCTCATCACCTCCGACAGTCTGACTTCTATGCGTGCGTCATAGCACTGGACATTGCTTTCGGTTGATTTATTTTGTCATAGTAGGATACAGACCTTAATGAAAATATGAGACTCTCAGAGCCGTCCGTGACGCCGTTTTCCCTGAACACTATTATTGAACATGGTGGAAATGAAAAAAAAAACATATCTAATAAACGTTCCGCGGGCACATCAAGCTTCGCTGTTTTCTTTTATCACCACAGCTTGTGATACCCAGGCACTGGCAATTTATAAGGAACTTGACTTGAGACTGCATTAGGCCTCGCTCACTTAATCGGATCTGGCTAATTTTACACATGATTACACCCACGCTAGCCTAAGGGACGTTCGAACGTTCGTGAAATCTCAAAGATTGGCTGGGGAGCCCCAAAGGCACGAGATCGGCAGAGCAGGGCTCAATTCGTATGTCTCGCATGATTGGCGTGGCAGAGGACGAGATTCAGCCGGCCCAGCTGGATCATATACCACATAACTTGAGTGATCAAAGACTCAGCCTGCTACGAATGGTCTCTAGCCACTGACCAGCTAGCAGTTTCATTGACGTTTTCAAATAACTACTGAAATTTCATAGCATTTCAACAGAGATAAAGGTTGACTAGGGATACCAAGAATGAGAGTCTTCCATTCTTATGCTCATGGCTGGCAGGACACAGTGGCTGGTTTTGACAGCACATAATTATAATAGCACACACTTGTGACAGCACACATTTGTGACAGCGCACAATTGTGATGACACACAGTGACTGGTTGTGACAGCACACAGCTGTGACAGCACACAGTGGCTGTTGTGTCTGCACACAGGGGCTGACAGCACACAGTAGCTAACAGTAGAGGTGGCAAAATGTGGACCCGAGGACCCGGTCCAGAGAACCAGTCTGGACCCATATGGGTCCAGACCGGTTCCTGGAAATTTTCTGACGGGTCCAACTGGGTCCTACCATAAACTAGACATCTTGCACACTACACATTTTTGCAAAATATGAAGTGAATAGAGTGAATGTTCCTTTACACACAGTAGCTCATGAGTATTCCCAGTGGGCAAAAGGCTGTTTTACATGATGCAACTAATGATACCTACAAGTAATTTGTATTAATTGACTTTTGGGGAACGGGTCCAAATGGTTCCGATTCCAACTTAGACCGGGTCCAACTGGTTCCAGAAATGTCCAGTCGGGTCTGGTTCGAGTCTGGTTCCTTAAATTTTCATCTTTTGCCACCTCTAGCTAACAGCACATAGTTGCTGACAGCACACAGTGGCTAATAGCACATAGTTGCTGGTTGTGACAGCACGCGGCGGCTGGTTGTGTCAGCACACAGGGGTGGACAGCACATAGTTGCTGGTTGTGACAGCACGCGGCGGCTGGTTGTGGCACCTGACAGCAGCTGGTATGTATGCCTCCAGTGGCTCAGCTCGACTCACCGAGTCCTCTCACTCGACTCACCGAGTCCTCTCCGTAGGCAGGGTGGTAGGGGAGAGCGGGGAGAGTTGTATCATGTCCAAGTTGTATCAGGGCGAATTGTGCCAAACATATCCAATAGATGGCGATCGTGACACGACCAGCCGACAAGGTTTTCCGGGCTCCATCTTTCCCTGTTCTGTCGTGTGGCTGGGTGGACGCGTCTCGAGGTGAGGGCCGATTTTGTTTTTTTAATGTCATTCTAAAAAAAATAAGTTGCAAGAAAATGTGTGTTTTGGGCATTTAGATGTGCACGAATTTGAAAGATCTCCGTAGCGGTGGTGAGGGCAGGTTCTAAGGCTGCGCGAGTGAAAATGGATTTCTCCAGCTCTCCGCTGTTTTTGAGCACGAGGATGTTTTTCCAAGATGGCGGCGAGGTACATGTTGTATCAGAGCCGGGTGGGGTATGTTGTAACATGTATGTATGTATGTATGTATGTATGGGTATGTTGCTGTTGATCGCAAAAGCAAAGCCCTGGCTGGCGTTTGTAGGTAGCTAGTCAATACTCGTTCCATTTCGGCACGATGTGTTGGCTTCTTTGCTCTTAACGGGCCACTTTTGCGTCTAGCCTGTTAATGTTTCGTTCGTTTCGATGTTTCGTTCGGATTGACCTAAGTTTGGTCTATTAAAAGTGAAGCCTTTGAGCATATACATTGTATTAACCCCATTTAATGTTGTTGTTATGTTCAAAACCAGTAGTAAGCACGCTCCCTGAAACGTGAAATAGTGATACAAATTACCCCACCATGTGATGCAACTCACCCAAGCCATGGGGCAAGTTGTATCGAAAACATTGTTCTATTCGGCAGACCGTAGAATAAAAACTGGTAGAGGTAGCGGAAAAGTTACTTTGCACAAAAAAGCAGAAGAATCAAGGAAGGAGATAGTATGGAAATAATGAGTTTATCACGGATAGTTACGAGGTTATGGGTCTCGGAGTAAAAACTGATACAACCCACCCCACTCTCCCCTATACCTCCAGCGGCTCAGCCGTAGTTACGACATTCGCCGCCAGGGGCTGACCCCGGCCCGTGACCGAGGTCGCGGGCGGGGTCAGTCTGCGTTGGTGCTCCGCACGGGCCGCGACGCTCCGTGTTGCGCGAGCCGCCGGTATTTCGAGGCGGCTTGTTTCCTCATGGAGGAACGGTTCAACAACCTTCTTGAGAGGTTTGACAAGTTGGAAAGCTCAGTGGCTGCAATCAGTGAGCATTTGAAGACCGACACCGCCGGTCGTCGGCTGGTCGACACTCAAGAATGCGCAGACACTCAGCCGCAGCCGCTCGGTGAGTCTGAAGTGGGCGCGAGCAGTGATCTGCAGACAGACTTTAAGAGCATTCGCGAAAGTCTGGCGAAGGTCAGACTACCACCGGACTTGGTGGTCGGTGATTCAAGAGCAGGCGTCAGCAAGGCTGACTGGCCGAAGTTCCAGGTCATTCAGAAGTGTGCGCGGTATCAGGAGACCGTATTGAAACTGCTCTCTCAGTGTACAAGCAGAGAGCCCGTCCTCTCTGAACTATCGACTGTAGCTATCGCACAACTCCGGTACCTGCAAGAAGAGTATACCAACCTGCTGGTGGCGAACCAGTTTGATGACGGGACGGCCAGGCTGTTCCAGACGCTGCAGCAGAACCCGGCAGCTTTCACGCCGGGGGCGCTGGAAAATCTGCAGCGAGCCGTGTCCATCGCCGGAGCGCGACACAACCGGCAGGTCAGTGGCTCTGGAAGGTTCCGCGGGCGGGGCTCATTCTTCCCGTTCGCTTCTGGCGGTCCGGACAGAGGCTACCGCCTGGACGCGGCGGGTCAGCGACCCGGCGGCGGCGCGGCGGGCTCGGGCTCCGGATCAGCTGACTGGAGGTTCCGCCGCGGGCGGTTCGGGTACGCACCCGGGCCTCGTGACCTGGCCGCCCGAGCGCAGCAGCCGGATGACGTCACAGGGACATTCTCAGCTGAGTAAACCATCACGTGAGTTGTGAGGGGAATTATGCCGCTGCATAAGGACGAGTGGGTGCGCATTGGGGCGCCTGATGCAGTTCTGGACTGGATTATGAATGGTGTGCCGGTGCCTGTGCGTGACATTCCAGAGCCCCGTGTCTTTGAAAATCCCTGTTTTAATGAACCAGAGAAAAAGTTTTTGGAAACTGAGCTGATGGCGCTAGAAAAGAGAGGTGTTATAGAAAAAGTAGCTGACGTGCCGCATTGTGTCTCCCCTTTGAAGGTTGTTCCAAAGAAAAATTCCAAATATCGCCTCATTTGTGACTTGAGATATGTGAATTCTCACTGTGATGTGCCACATTTTTCGTCAGAAGGTGTTTCTGTCCTGCCAGAGGTTATGAGAGGTGGTGAGCTGGCGGTCACTGTAGATTTAAAGGACGGATTTTATCATTTCCCTGTCCGTGAAGAGTTCAGAACGTATCTGGGTTTCCAGTATGGTGGATGCTGGTATGTGTGGTGTTTTCTACCATTTGGTTTGGTGGCTAGCCCGTACTATTTCCACAAATGTATTCGGGTGGTCATAGAGTATATGAGAGGGACCGAACGCCTGTCGGTCATGGCCTACGTAGATGATTTTTTATTGACGTCAACGAAGAATAGAATGGCCAGTGACGTGAAAATATTTTTAGATACTTTAGCTTCATTAGGATTGTGTGTCAACTGGGAGAAGTCGTGTTTGGAGCCGTCAAATGTTGTGTCTTATTTGGGTTTCGATGTGCACTGTGCGTCCGAGGGTGAATTGCCGTTCATTACTGTGCCTAAATGCAAAGTGTCGAAGCTGAAGCAGGATATAGGTAGGATGTTAAAGCGGCCCACTGTGTCGGCGCGTCTGCTGGCTCGCATCGCGGGTAGGTGTATCAGTATGATGGCAGCGGTGTTCCCGGCCAAGCTGAAGTTGCGGAACATTTACCGTCTGTTGAATTCTAGGATGTCTTGGGACGAGGCAATGCCGTGGTCGCCCGAGGCCAGAGAGGATCTGGCGTGGTGGCTTACATCGCTGGACGGGTGGAACGGCCGGCTGCTGGTGCCGCCGGCCAGCTGCGACTTGCAGCTCTCCACCGACGCGTCCGAGACTGGCTGGGGAGCGACACTTTCCACCCCGGTCGCTCAAACCGCCTCGGGTTTCTGGCGGCCAGAGGTGAGCGCAGAAACGTCCAATTTTCGCGAGTTACTAGCTGTTTATTTTGCCTTACTGTCATTTTGTTCTACGCTTCGTGGCAAAACCGTCGAGATATTGTCCGATAATATCACGGTAGTCGCGCTCATTAACAAGCTTGGGTCAGCTGATCGTCGCCTGGACGCCATCGCTCAGAATATTTGGGAGTTTGCTTTTGAGCATCAGGTCATGCTGGTTGCGCACCACATTGCAGGATATTTAAATGTAGACCCCGATGAGCTGTCACGTATTCCGCTGCGTCACGAGTGGACACTCCATCCGGCTGTGTTCCAGCAGTTGGAGCGCATGTTCGGCCCGCACACGATCGACCGGTTCGCCTCCCTGTCTACGGCGTTGCTACCGGTCTACAACAGCCGCTTCAGGGACCCCGGTACCGCTGGTGTGGACGCTCTGGGTCAGAACGATTGGCAACAGCACAACAACTTCATAAACCCGCCCTTCCGGCTGGTCGCACGTGTGCTGGACGCGGTGCAGGCGCAGCGTGCCGAGGCCACGCTGATTGCCCCGATGTGGCCAGGCCAGCCATGGATGGAGCGGCTGCGGCGGCTCAGCGTCTGCCCGCCGCTGCGGCTGCCGCCTGTGACGCAGGCCTGTATTCCACTGCTACCGCACCAGCAGATAGAGCCGCACCGCAACAGACGGTGGACTCTGTTCGCCTGGCGGATCTCTGGAGAGCCCGGTTAGAGGCGCTCGGCTGGTCTCCTGCTGCACGTGAGCAGTTCCCTCTGTGTTTGGCTCATTCCACTCACGCGAATTATGACAGGTACATCTGTAAGTTTAAGGAATTTTGTAGAATACGTGAATTGATTTTTCCACCGGTAGATGGCGCGGTAGTGGCTGATTTCCTGGTAGGCGAGTGCAGTGTGTCTGACAGACCCCACTCTACGTTACGCTGCATGTCAGCAGCCTTGGCTGCACTGTACGAGGTGATGGGAGTAGCCAACCCACTCCACGATCCCCTTCTCGTGCGTCTGTCTCAGGCCATCGTGAAAAGCGGCACACGGGCACCCATGACACGGTCGTCCGTGATGGATGTATCAGCCTTTGTTCGTCTGTTTGAGTCGTGGGCTGTGAACGAGTCGCTACCGTTGAAGTTGCTCCGGTTGAAGGCGATATGTCTGCTAGCTATCGCGCTGATGTTGCGGCCCTCAGATATTGCCCCCCTGTCGATGAGGTTCGATGCAGGCTCGGGGGTAACGTCGCCGTTTGTGCTGTCCACTGATCAGCTTCAGTTCCGTTCAGATGGTACCCTGCAGGTTACCTTTCTGGGGATAAAGAACGACGCTCAGCGCACGGGGTTTCAAGTCGCAATCCCGCCTAGCCCCAATAAGTCAGCGGACCCTATCGATGCCCTGCGTGTTTATTTAGCTAGAACAGAGTCGTGTCGATGTCCAGTTTCGAAGCCTGTTTTCATTAGTTTAGTTCGCCCATATGCTGCAGTTTCTGCAAGCTCGGTGGCTGCCGTTTTACAGCAGGGTATTTATTTTGCGGAGGATTTTGGTCTCGCCAAAGGTCACACGCCGAAAGATTTTCGGCCAACTGGCGCGACCCGTGCGGTGCAGCTCGGGTTTGACGCAGACGATGTGCAGCGTCTCGGTAGATGGAAGACCAGGTCGGTATTCCTGGATCATTATGTTCACAATAGCGTAGATCCGTCGTTTACACAGCGTCTGTTCGAGTGACATGGCGGTGCATATGTGTGATGGGTGCTACGACGCGACGTTGTGATTTTTTCTCTCCACGGAATTGCATTTATGTTTGTTTGTACAATACATGTACGGCTGGCGGCGAATGTCTGTAACGTTGGTTTTAAGAAACCGTAGTTACGACATTCGCCGCCAGGGGCTGACCCCGGCCCGTGACCGAGGTCGCGGGCGGGGTCAGTCTGCGTTGGTGCTCATGGATTTGGAAGTTGACGCATGGAACATGATCTCGCCATAGACCAGTAACTGGAAAGGAGCTCGGTTCGTGCAAGTGCCACTGCGGCGCAGACGATTGCATTTATGTTTGTTTGTACAATACATGTACGGCTGGCGGCGAATGTCTGTAACGTTGGTTTTAAGAAACTCGACTCGCCGAGTCCTCTCCGTAGGCCGGGTGCAGAGTATGTATGTATACCTCCAGCGGCTCAGCTCGACTCGCCGAGTCCTCTCCGTAGGCCGGGTGCAGAGTATGTATGTATACCTCCAGCGGCTCAGCTCGACTCACCGAGTCCTCTCACTCGACTCACCGAGTCCTCTCCGTAGGCCGGGTGCAGAGTCCGGTCCCTGAAGACGACTCTGACCGAGTAGTTGAACTGCGCGCCCAGCCGCTCCGCCAGGTTTACATGCTGCCGATACTCCAGCGCTGCGGGCACCGTAAGGCGGGCGTCAGGTGCCGCGCCGGAAATAGAGCCGATCGCCCCACCAGGGAACGCTCTTAGTGGAAATAAGTCCAGCCGAACGTACGGCCTCCCTCAGGGAGCAAGAGTTTGGACATTAGTTTACCGTGGATGCTTTTTCATACTGGCTCACACAGCAAACACGCTACGAAAAAGTTAGTGTGACGAACACCTACTAGTTTGGAAGCGGGTTTGAAGTTTTTTTATGTTTCAACCGGCATACAAAAATGATAATAGTTTATTGGACATAGCAATGAATTTAATAACTTGGATTTTGTAAACAAATCAATGCCACAAAATTTTACTTTTACTGTGACTTTTTTATGTCAGGTCAGGGTAAGGTCAGAGTCAGATCAGGGTCAGGTCATGGTCAGATCAGGGTCAGGTCAAGGTCAGGTCAGGGTCAGGTCAGGGTCAGTATCCGCCTCCGGAGCTCACAGGCAAAGAGCAGCGTCCTGGCGTTCTTCTCCAGGTAGTAGCTGTTGGGCGCCAGCTCCAGCAGGTGCTCGTGGTCCCCCTCCAGGCGCACGTCAAAGTGCTCGATGGTGTGGTGGTCGTCGTCCCGCACCTGCATCGTCGCCTGCACGCGCTCTCCCTGAGGGTAGAGGGGAGAAATGGACCAGAGTGGAGAGAGGTGCAGAGCTTTGGTCAGCCTGAGGAAATACCATTTACAAAACAAAAACGCAACTGAGTCATCAATCATCAATATCCATGCCTCGGTCCGATGTCACGGAGATTTCAGTGTAATCTCGCCTTTACGGCACAGTCTGGACGTTGTGTGTCATCACTCATCACTTAGTGTCATTGTCATGGACGCTGCGCAGTGTCATCGTCAGGTGACCAGGCCGGCGCCACTCGGCTCAAGCGTTATCCACCGCCGTCTCCACACGGACTGGGACGGTCGTGTTTCCTATTATAACACCGGGGCCGGGGTTCACCATCAGCTCACAGCCGCTGACACATGGGCTCTGTAGTCTGCAATGATACGCCCCTGACATACAGCCAACTGCAGCGCTGAGTAACCGACGACGAGCTGTGACTTGGGCCTCAAACTATCACCAACCGTGGAAATCCAGTCAGACGAACAGACCGAAACGCCTCGCCCATACCTCGATCGGGGTTACCTAGTCCAACCCGATCGGCACAGAACTGCTGCTGGGAGCGCCCCGACGTTCAGTGTCGCTCCCAGCATAGCCACTCGCCACTACCAATCGGCCGTGGCGGCCGGGGGAGGGGAGGAGGGGGGGGGGGGGTTCTGGGCCGGGCGGTGACACTCGATATGACCCGGCTGTTTACGGACGGAGCCGGCCTCGGATACAGGAGAGCCGGTGTATTTGTCCCTCCCACCACCCAGGGGGATGAGGAGGGGTAGCCAGGGAGAGCCGTCAGTGGCAGTGGACAGAGTGACCCGGGCAGAGGGGGTACTGGGGGCAGAGGAAAGGAGGGACAGACAGGTGGTAGGACAGGTCAGATAAACCGATGCACGGAGAGAGAGAGAGAGAGAGAGAGAGAGAGAGAGAGAGAGAGAGAGAGAGAGAGAGAGAGAGAGAGAGAGAGAGAGAGAGAGAGAGAGAGAAAGAGAGAGAGAGAGAGAGAGAGAGAGAGAGAGAGAGAGAGAGAGAGAGAGAGAGAGAGAGAGAGAGAGAGAGAGAGAGACGAGCTGACTCATCTATTAGGCTGACAAGCTGACTGGTCCCAGAAGAAAACCCTCCCAAACAGTCAGTGATGCCGCTCGATTCCCCGGCCTCTCTCACTCTCCCAGTGCAGCGCGCCCCGGGGCCGGCCGCTCAGTATCAGGACGGTTTGTTTATCGCGCTGATCGGCCCGGCCGTCTGACTCGAGTCGGAGTCAGCACCGTCTTCCCGGACCAATGATCACCGGACGTCTTCGGGTCGCTGCAGAGCGCTGCAGTCCGACCGGGTGGCCGACCTCCGCCCGGCAGCTCAGCTCGGACCCCGGCCCAGTCCCTGTCCAATGACGTAAAACCGGCGGTCCACCGACGTAAAGCCGGCATCTTCGGCCGATAAAACCGCTGAGCGACAACAGCGCCGTCCGCAACTACAGCCATCAGCGGGCTCATCAATCAGAAACGAGCCGACGGAGCGGCCGCCGGGGGATTCATCGCATCAGCCGACCGCCGGCCGTCACCGGACTCTGCCGCTGACGTGGGGCAGGCGGGTCAGAGAGGTGGAGCAGATGGGGTCGGTGATGTGGCGCGGATAGGGTAAATGGTGTGGGACGGATAGGGCTTAGTGATGTGGACGAATTTTCATTTCAGGGCCGTCGTGGGATGAGACGAAAGGAAGGCATTTGAACGACCACGAACTTGAGCGTTACAGCGGCTGAGCAGTGAGCATATGCTGATTGAATAAGTGTTTCCTGGTGCGACAGTCTGCCCAGCTGCACAAGTGGAAGCGGTCACCCCGGAGGGACCAGCAGTTCTGTTGAAACTCCTCTCGCCGGTTGTCGTGGGTGGGGGACGGATCACATCAGGCAACACTCCACACTCACTGGTAGACCACACTCCGCTGTGCCAGGGAAGTGTGGTCAATGATGATGAAGAGGTCGGTCCAGACTCCAGAGGATAGAAGGGACAGGTGCATTGGATGGGAGACAAAGGACAGATCTTGTTTTTATATGAAAAAAATCGAATAAAAACATGAGTTGTTTGCTGATGGCTAGCTCGATGCATTGTATGACCGTGGCTGTACGTAGGCTTAACTGCCCAGGAAGTGTGGCCGCCACCGAGATCGTTGGAGCTGATATTTCGGCCCGCGCCCGCCCAGCACCCGCCGTGCCAATCCCGTCTCCGCTCGAGTTCGACCGGTCGCGGAGCGATTCCGCGGCTGAACAGGTCTGAGACCTCCCCCCCTCCCCCCCGGCGACATCCGGTCGGCCGGTCAGCCCGTCCCCCTGTCCCGTATGGGCCGACTCCCACCTTACAGACGCCGGCGCGCTCAGCCCAGCTGCTCCCCGGGGAATTCAGCCGGCTCGCTGTAGAGACCGGCGACGGATTTAGATTAATGTCGCTCATCAGTTGGCCACGGCTTAACCGTGACCGGATTCAATATAACGAGACGTGTTGGCGGGCTTCGCGTCAAATCATGAGCGAGCCTTACAGACGACGTGGGCGCACATTATGCCTGAGGAGGAGATTTACTTCGGGCGGAACTCGAGAGCGGGATTTGCAGGTTATATTGCGTGTGATAAATGTAAAAACGCCGGGAGATGAATGCAGAGAGGTCTGCTTTTATCATACGAGACGGTACGCAATACGCACTCGTCATTAACCTTCCTCTATTTGAGAGCGTTAAGTTCACTCTAATGAACACTCTAAGGCATATATCAACATCCGGCTGAGCTGATTGCATTACAAGTTGGTAAAGCCCGATCTCCGCCGCTGTCGTCGGGCCGGCCCACGCAGCGCAAGAGAACAGACCATTAATTTATAACAAAGGGAATAGCAATGACGGAGTCTGGTATAATGACCTGAAGACGTCACGGAACTCCGAGCGACACGGGGCGGGGACACGGGTGGTGGGGAAAAGAGTGCGTCCACGATAAACTTGACGTTATGCCGTAAAATAGCCAAATCACAGCGGCTTTTGGAGGTCAATATGGAACACCAAAGCGGCAAAATAACAATGAAACAAATCGAAAGTGCATGCCAATAAGTTCGGTACCAAATCGTCAAAAATATGTTTCAGGCAAACAGCAGCAATGCTTTTTCAAATACACCTCTTGCAACGTCTGACAGAGTTGGAAGAGCAGATATTTTACATGAGCACCATATAATAGTTACTCACTTATCAATTTGGTGATAATCACTGTGATGGGTACCTAAACAAAAGTTTCAGGCTTGGGGGGACAATGGGGGACACTCGGGGTCAGCTTATGCTCCTTTGCTGCTCTACCAGTGATGCGAAATCCATGCAACGTGTTGCTCGTCTTTCAATATGCTCTTCATTTGTGTATTGTAGATAATTATATTTCATCAAAAATCGTTTTTGCTAAAGACAGAGGAAAAAACTAGCATTGCTTCACCAGGGTTTATCGCATTGAGGGTCGAAAAATGGGAGCAATTATTCGTTTCCTACCGTAAGCAGAAAAGAAAAATCACGGTAGAGCACCACATAATTCCGATTTGCACTTACGAAGTAACGTAATCACATTTCAGAAGGCTCAGCTCTAAATATTTAAGTTGAGTTAAGTATTAAACAATATGCTCCGTTTGTTCGCCACATAATAATGCTATTCAGAATGTTTAATTTGTTACAGAAGTATTATACAGGATCAGCCCACGCATCACACAAATGTCATGTATGATCGGACATATTTAGCTCAGATGGGACGAGTCAGGAATGAAACAAGCTCCTTGACCATTTCGCTGTCATACCAAAATTAGCAGCACGCGGTGCCATTCATCTAAATGTAATTGCTCAGTTGGCATTTGCCGCTCTGTCAGTTCTAATGCACGTGCCATTGTGAAAACGAAATTACGAACCTGCGCACGTCACATGTTTCATTGAATTGAAATTATTCAAGTGGTAACAATTCTCGCTCTGTCATTGCCTTCGAGCAATTTGGCAGCCGGCTCAGGCTCCTCTCCTCGATTTAGTCTGGATCTCCCACGGATCCATCAATGCCTCCTCTGTCAAATGAACAAAGCAGTCGGTGTGGAACAGTGCCAGGCCAATTGGTTATTATGAGCAGCTATACTGGATAAGGCCGCCCCGGAGCATCTTTCATATTCCTCGGGCATATCGGAGGCTTCAAATCCGGCAGTCAGGGCGGATTTGAATCCGGGAGTCAGGGAGTCGGGGAGGTTTCAAATCCGGGAGTCAGGGACTCGGGGAGGTTTCAAATCCGGGAGTCAGGGAGTCGGGGAGGTTTAAAATCCGGGAGTCAGGCGGACAGAGCTAAGAACCTCAGAGCAGAGTCCAGCTCGGCGGGGCACATCACAAAAGGGCCCGGAACAGTGCAGTGGCAGCACAACACAGCACAGCGCAGCACAGTCCGAGGCTCGCATAACAGTGGATCACGGCACAGGACAGCACAGGCCCTTTCAGGATCTACCGGCTCATCCAAATTGCGCTTTATTTCCGTCCAATAAATACCGTTCCCAAATTACATGCATCTTATTCCGATACATTCCAATAACCATTTACATTATCCATAGTTTTGATCGAAAGAATCTCACCTAAGTCTGCTCCACTGTACTTATAGTGCTATCCAGGACATCAATAAAGTTTTGTAAGATTTTCCCCCTTTCTTCAATTTTCTTGTTCAGACAAGCACACACCGAAGCGACTTATTGGCACCACTTTAAAACTTTGCAGCACATCCCGCAGATAATAACAGCCGGGAAAACGACAGAAAAGAAATAGGTAATACCAATGAAAAGAATAACTGTGCTGTGTACTGCAGACCTTGCAAGAAATCGAATCGCAGAGAAGTATTTATTCTTACAACTTTGTCGTTCAAGTTGCAACCTTCGGGATAACAGATTCAATGTATCTAATGATAGTAATATTCCAGTGCGGGAATGCTATTGAAGCACAAACAAACGTGTCTAATTAACCACGGCTCTGACAGTAAATGGAATCAAATATAATCAGAAACCATTCGTGTTTACGGCAGCCATTCATGCATATAATACGTCTTTAAATCTGAGTGTTTCTTTACGAATTACTGACTGCGCAAGACAAGGGATCAAAAGTTGAGACAGCTGAACTGTTCTAGCGAGTCGGCATATCGATTGCTGCACCTTCATGGAATATTTGGAGTACCGTGAATTCCTCTGACCTCACCACAATTTTTGAAATGGATCTTGAGCACATATTTACCAGAACATTTGTGTTATTCTTTGGAAATGTCATCAAGATATGGAGCTAAAAACACATCTGAAATATCACAAAGATGGTCGGATAAGCGCAATCGAAGCGTTTTCTGTGCTGAGGCGTCGTCGCATGGTTACATTTCGACGAGCGTCTGTTTTGAGGGACGGGCTCCTTTCGTGAAATGTCGACCGGCCATTCAGTGAAACAAGCCACCGACCAGTTTGACTCGCAGCTCAGGGGCCCTGTCGCTAGTAACGGGCTGCTCTCGATACACTACCGCGATGCATCCAACAGGCCCGTTGGTATTTAATACCAATACAATTCATTTGTAAGCCTCCTCAGAGTGTTGTCCGTGATGTTATGTGTACCAGGAACCCGCAGTTGCTACTGTATACGAACCCCAACTCTAGCCGTCTGTCCTGTCCAGTAATGACCGATAACATTGATATCGACTGCCGGTCCCTGTACAAGAGCAGCTGAGGTTTTCTGTGCGTGCCCTCTGACAGCTTATCGTTGTTCCCTGTGAGGGTGCTGGGACAATTTACTCAGGGTCGCTGTACAGTAGCAACTGCGGGTCCCCGTACCAGGCCGCAGCACAGCTGGCGCCGCTCGGTTCGCTCGTGTGACCCACCTTCTTGACCTCGAGCTGGCCGCAGAGGTAGACGTCATGCACGTGCTCGCCCTCGTGGTACACCCGCGGCGCGTGGTCGTTTCTATCCAGCACGTTCACCGTCAGCTTCTTCCGCAGCTCTGTGGGCGACGACAGCAGGGAGACAGTGTGAACACCTCACACAAGCTCCGGCTCAGTTCGCGACTAGCTCACAAGGGAGACACACTGGGTATGTTGCGGTAGACCGTGGACTGAGAAATTGAGAAAAGCAGGATTTAGAATATGATTCAGACAGTCAAAAGAAGATATAACCGAGACACTGGACACGTCACTTCACGCTGCCACATAGAGGCTAGTCCAGCAGCTCAGCGCAGCGCGGCTGAAGCGTGGACGACCCTCGGGGGATGGGGAGGGGAGGGTAGTGTCCGACAGGCAGGAGGGTAGTACCAAACCACTGCAATATTCACACGACAAACGCCAACTACTGTCACCATGGAGTGGCAGCGATGTGTACAGAGGAGCACCAGCCTGGTTAGCATCACATTTACTGAATCAAACAACTGTAATCCACTTTGTAGCCGATAAGTCAACACGGAGACACGAAACGCTACTGGAATGCTGGTATTTCGGGTTCGTTCTTGCCTCGGGCAAACATCGAATAATGAAAAACTTCCGACGAAACAGGCCATTTATAGCCCTACTTCAGGCGCCTCAGTGTCCTGCTTTTTTTGCACACAGATTTCGTGTTGTAGCATTGAGTTTCAAATGACCTTTGTTTGCTTGCGCTTGTCAGGTTATTCAGTAGCTGTGATAACAGAATTATCATCGAGTCCTCATCACTCAGCCATTCCCCTATTCTTTGCATTCGTACAAGCATACGAGCTCGTTTAAAGGCCAACAGGTACGTTTCTCACATTTAGTTCAGAATGCAAATTGTCATCACTAAGATTTTTTTGCAATTATATGCTTCATTTTTACCACTGAGACTGTGTTTCCTCTCCAGATCTGACCCCATCACATGGCTCCCAGTTCCCCACTGATCCGACGCTGCCCCCCGCTGTGCCGCTGGTCCTGACACCTCACCTGTTCCGCTGTCAGGGAGCCGGCAGGAGACCTTCACCACGAAGCGGTGGTCGGCGCCAGTGCGGGTCACGTTGGTGACCTCCATCCATGACCCTCCAGAGGTCAGCGAGTCACGTGACGGCGTCCAGTCTGCCGGAGACGAGGGCTGCTGAGCCAGACAGCGGGGCTGCTGAGCCTTATATATAGCGGGGCTGCTGAGCCAGACAGCGGGTTGGCTGAGCCATATACACAGCGGGGTGGCTGAGTCATACAGCGGGGTGGCTGAGCCAGACAGCGGGGTGGCTGAGCCAGACAGCGGGGTGGCTGACCGACCCAGTATCCCTGGGTAATGCTATTTTTTATGACATTTCCTTAAACGAATTGAGTTTTACTTCCTTGTGTAATAGTTACCAGCTTTGTTTTTTATTGGTTCCTTTCGTAGATGACTTTTACACTTAACCCTCGCCGGCCGAGGGGGGGGGGGGGGCGGGTGCCGCCCCCCCATAGGGTTTTTTCGCGATAGCTCCGAACACGCTGGCGATAGAGAGCTGAAACTTGGCATACCTGATCTTTGATCCAAGCCGCATCTTTTGACACCAACCGCATTTTTGGGTCAGGTCAGGTCACTGACCTATGACGTCATAAGTGAACCTCTGCACGGTCTTCAGATGTCGCAACTTCGCAACGCCCTCACTGCCAGAGGAGATGTCACAGGGAAATGAAACTTGCAGGATCTAGTATCCATTATGAGTCTCACAACTTGTATATCTCGGATTTTTCCTAAAGGTCATATGAGGTCAGGTCATTTTCGTGACCTCACCATTATAAGTCAATGGGGAAAAATTCAAACTGCTATTCTGGCGCCGGGAACGATCTCCAACTATCTCAAGCACACAGAATCGTGATTTTATGCACTCCTTGCAAGGTTAGATGCGTCACTTTTGCAAAGTTGACCTTGCGTGACGTCATTTATGACGTCATCAAGGTCATATTAGTTTTTCGTCAATAACTCTTGATCAAATTGAGCTAGCGAGCCGGGAAAGCCACCAATGGACTCAGGAAGACCTGCCGAATCGAATGATATGCGACATGACCAACTTCGTGACCTGGGGGTGCTGACCTGACCTTGACCTGAGGTCAACACCTCAAGTTGACCTGACCCGGACAAAAAGTATATCATTCGACGCGCCTGAGCGAGACGAACACGATGCTGCCAAAATCGGCGCTCTGCGGCCGTTTTTTGCGAAGTTATTCACCAAAAACTGAACCGTACCTTGGGGCACTTGACCTGACCTCAGAAGTCACCGGTTGACCTAGGACCTTAAAATCGGGTACCAATCTCTGCGTCTCGTAACGGCGCACACGCTCGTTTTTTCCGCGACGCGCTAGCTCCACCAGGGGCGAAACGGCGAGGGGGGGTCGTACCCGCCCCCCCCCCCTCGGCCGGCGCGTATGTAGAAAACCAATAGGTCCGGCGAGGGTTAACACAAATTTAACTTATAGTTTAATACCAAAGTGACCGTTTATCTGAACACCGCCCGATGTCGGTGTGAACTGACATTTGTTCCTGACCGGCGCCAGGTCAAACCGGTATGTCGGCTGGGTGCAGGCCGTCTGCTGAGCAGAGCCAAAGTCGAGCAGCAGCGGTGGCTGGTCGCCAGTCGGCAGGTCGCTGAACCACTGCAGCTCCGTAACGAACGTCCACGGCCCCCAGCACAGCTCCTGAAGAACAGGGAGCTAGGTGAGAGACTGCTGCTCCGTTACGTCCCCAGCACAGCTCCAAGGACAGGGAGTCAGGTCAGAGACTGCAGCTCCGTGACGAACGTCCACGGCCCCCAGCACAGCTCCCAGAAGACAGGGAGTCAGGTCAGAGACTGCAGCTCCGTGACGAACGTCCACGGCCCCCAGCACAGCTCCAAGGACAGGGAGTCAGGTCAGAGACTGCAGCTCCGTGACGAACGTCCACGGCCCCCAGCACAGCTCCCAGAAGACAGGGAGTCAGGTCAGAGACTGCAGCTCCGTGACGAACGTCCACGGCCCCCAGCACAGCTCCTGAAGGACAGGGAGTCAGGTGAGAGACTGCAGCTCCGTGACGAACGTCCACGGCCCCCAGCACAGCTCCCAGAAGACAGGGAGTCAGGTCAGAGACTGCAGCTCCGTGACGAACGTCCACGGCCCCCAGCACAGCTCCTAGAAGACAGGGAGTCAGGTCAGAGGCTGCAGTTCCGTGACAAACGTCCACGGCCCCCAGCACAGCTCCTGAAGGACAGAGGGTTGGGTGAGAGACTGCAGCTCCGTGACAAACGTCCAAGGCCCCCAGCACAGCTCCAAGGACAGGGAGTCAGGTCAGAGACTGCAGCTCCGTGACGAACGTCCACGGCCCCCAGCACAGCTCCAAGGACAGGGAGTCAGGTCAGAGACTGCAGCTCCGTGACGAACGTCCACGGCCCCCAGCACAGCTCCTAGAAGACAGGGAGTCAGGTCAGAGGCTGCAGTTCCGTGACGAACGTCCACGGCCCCCAGCACAGCTCCTAGAGGACAGAGGGTTGGGTGAGAGACTGCAGCTCCGTGACGAACGTCCACGGCCCCCAGCACAGCTCCTGGGGTAGAGGGAGATAGATTATCAACGGGGTGACAATATACGCAGACGAGCAGCATTCACGGACCGCGTACTTCACTCATTACACCTGAAAGAAAGCAGAGTGAGCATAACCCAACAATGCTAGCATAATCCCGAACGTTAACTGCCAATAATTGTCACTTGTTGATTGTTCAAAAATTATCAAGCGAAACCAGGTATATGAAGTTTTTCGTTTTTCTTTCACGTTTGTAGGATCTTTTTTCTCTGATGTTTTACAGGAACAACATTGCCACTTTCATAAAGCACATGCGTGTTACGCGCAATAAAATCGTTCCTTACAACATTAACGCAAAAATTGTCTACGGATCGTCGGATATACACCTACATTACTAGGGTTGACTATTAAGTAATGGAAGTGCCTTAAGCAATTAAACGTTTTTGCACGTGCACATGTTTTCTTGGTGTCATTTCACGCGCCGATGTTTTTTCTATCCAATGGTGAAGACCACATGTCCTTAGCTACTTCTTGCTCCAAGCTATCGTCGTTTTCCCAAGAGACCACCCGAACCTGCGGCGCACCATGAAAAAGGAGTCTGGCAATGGCCAAAATCGCGCGCCAAGCGCCAGCGCGAGGTCATCAGAGCTTATTGGCTTATTGTTATGGCTACACAATGGACAATTTCTATATTTTCATCAAAACAATACACATTGGCACGATAAATGACAGCATACACTACTCCACATAATCGCCTTCAAGCATCACACACAATTCCAGCCTCGTCTTGACCCACTCCTGGAACGCCGCCAGAAGACTGATTGGCGTTTTCTTTCTCAAACCGATGAAACCACCGACATATCGTCTGTGGGGAGGCTGCGTCGCTCCATACACTTAGAAAAAGAAAATTCTGATATTGGTAGGCCTTTTCCCTACGACAAACTGAGCTCTAATGACCTTGCACTCGTCGCTGGCGCGCGGCTTTGGCCATTGCCAGGTGGTGCGCCACAGGTTCGGGAGGTCTCTTGGGAAAACGACGATAGCTTATAGCAAAAAGTAGCTAGGGACATGTGGTCTTCACCATTGGATATAAAAAAGATCGGCGCATGAAATGACACCTAAATAATGTGTGCACGTGCAAACCCGTTTAATTGCTTAAGGCACTTCCATTACTTAATAGTCAACCCTAGTAGATACGCGGAGGTCGAGGACGTTTGGGCGACGGAGACATTGATCCAGACATGTTATTCAATAAAGGGTCATCAGCGTCCTCTACATGATTGATAAGGAAACATGTGATGGGCGCATTAGCTTCGCGAACAAATCTATTCAGCTATTTATCACCGGCGACAGTAGTCTGTTCTATTACGTAATTTACGCGCCCTCGCCTAGACAGAGTGTCGCCGTGCTCCTGGGAAGGCTCCCTAATGCGCTCAATTACCGGGCTAATCCCTCTGAACGGCCGGTGACGGCGTCACCCTCGTGACGGACGGACCGGCGACACGCCACCGAGGTGCCGCGCTCGCGGCGTCGCGTGCCCGGCCGGCAGCCGCGGGAACACACGCGGTGCATGAGTCGTGACCTGTTCGTGCCCCGCCGTCATGACACCGGCCTGTCCCATCCGGTGTGCGACCTTGGACGTGCATTATGTAATGTCGCTGGGATCCCGTGTAAAACCATCTCAGGACACCAGGGAGGGAGGGCACTCCAAGGTATAACCCTAGAACGCCTAGGGGGGGGTTGTATCACCCCCCCCCCCTGAGGTTTTTTCGAAGTGCACGCTAAACGGCTTGTCGTAGCGGGCTGAAATTTTCAATACCCTCTGGGGCAACCTTTGCGCATCTTTTGCCGAAAAAAAATTGATCGGGTCATGTCAGGTCACGGAGTTATGACGTCATAAGAGGTACAGCCTCCGGCCGACAGTTACCAAACGTGTGCGCCGAATCCCTAGGTTTTCTGCCGGTGATACCCACATTGTTTGATGGATCATGATGAAACTTTCCATGCATGTTGGGGCAAGCATTGGCTATTGTGTGGTGCAAGAAAATTGACCGGGTCAGGTCAGGTCACGGAGTTATGACCTCATAAGAGGTACAGCCTCCGGCCGGATTTTCACGAAGTGTGTACCGAGTCCCGAGGTTTTCTGCTGATGCTATCCACATTGCAGTGGATATCCACATATCTTTTCTGAGTCGTTACCTACAGTATTTATAGCGGAGCAGTGGTCAACAGCCGACGAATCGGGACAAACACCGGAGGGTGATGTGACACCATATCACTCATCAGCAATAGGCCTCTTACTTTTATAGGGTAAATACACCAAAAACACCATATATGATGCAGAATTGAGTGGGGAATACGTTGTTGAAGGTTTGAAGTTAATATCTCTCACCGTTTTGCCGCAATCGTTGCGCAAAGTTGAAAAAGTTTGATTTTTTCGGAAAATTTGACCTTTGACCGGTCATAAGTAGGTCAAATGTTGACCTAGGACCAAAAAATATACAACCAATCGCGAGATCTCGTTGAGAGCAATCCGTTGGTTTTTTCCGCTAAGCTCTACAACCTTCCGTTTCGAAACGCCAGGGGGGGGGGTCGTAACAACCCCCCCCCTGGTCGTTCGTGTTATGAGAAATGGCCTGGTCGTGCGAGGGATAATGGGAAACAATGTACGCAGATACTTACCTAGTTTATTTATACCTCTTAGGTCTTGCTTTGGGCATCCAGTGCGGACACGAAGTACAACTTACGAAAAGTGACTATTTTTTCGTTTGATAACATCCATAAATCGTAAAACACAGTCAAAGGCATATGATAGACAAATAAACGTGACAGGCTAAGTGGCTAATAACCGAATAGCCGTCTCCTAATTGCAAAGGTCACATAATGAAATCAGACGAAAGTGTCCCCTATTCTCCCCAAATGACTAGCATCGTCGCTCACGATGTCACATGTCTGCCATCCACCAGTCTTATCGGGCGTCACATAAATTTACTTTTTGTAGCTTTCATTTCCATTGATATCAATGATAAATGGAGACACGCCGATGGGGGAAGCTGAACACTGAAGCATTTATCAATCAAATATTATTTTCGGCTGATTTAAATACGATTTTGCACCGTTCAAACCAACCTTTCCCAGTTTAAACAGACACACTAGCTTTATTGAGGGTAATATGACCGAAGGACAGCAAAGGGACTGCTTCGCCCGGGCGTATCACCAATGAGGAGCGCGCTGTCTGTTTTACCACTGATCCACGCTGTGAGTTCAGCAGGTCGTCTTACATCACGGCACACCAGGTCGACCCACGGATCCCGCCAGCGGCTGCGGCTGTGAGCGCTCCGGAATAGTGACTCTGATCCGAGCCCGGTCCCAGAGCGCGGTACCATCTGTTCTGAGTCAGGCACAGTGCAGTTGGCCACCGCCCACTCAGTGGGCACACTGTTTTAGTAACCAGATCAATGGTACCGGATCGCGGCATTCAGAGTGCCAATACCGCAGCGGGGTCGGATAACCCTGGATTAGCGAGGTCAGAGGTGGGACGGTGAGGGTGGCGACTGGATGGGCCTCCGAGAGGAGAGGAAGACAGCCTGAATCACTGTGTAGGATTAAACTGGGAATAACGCACGGTGATGTCGAGTCTCAATCTATATTACTATTTGAGGAGGGTGCGTCTGTCCGTTACCGAGGTCCCGACTTGGTGGTGCTTTGCGTGGACTGCAGGCCAGACCGTTGCACCTAGCCCGGTGAAATTTGCACAACTCTTAGATCAAGGATGCGCGACGTGCCTTTGAGGGGTCTCAGCTCGATCGGGTCGATAGGGAGCGCGTGGTGCGTGCTCAAAAAGTGCAAATTCGCGTCATAGACTTTACATGTATAAATCGGCGTGCGAAATCGGGCGAAAATGGCTAATTTTGGCCGACACGGGTCCAGTTCCCGTGCAATATCTTGGTGACCAGGGATCCGACCGGCACGGGGAAAACAGCATCGTGTACAGAATTGAACGGGCTATTGAATGGTGTGCAATGCAGAGGATAGCACGCGCCACGTGCACCGGAGAGGGCACTTTTATTTGAAAAATTGCGGTTTTTGAGGGATTTTGGAATTAATTTTATTTTTAGGTGACCGTTAAATGGAGCGAGTTGAATC